CCTTTGCTGAGCCTGCCCAGACTTTCATGAGTTCCGTGTGACATCATCGCCAGAGTCAGGAGACTGTCCGCGGAAGAGACGACCGCATCCTACATTCCGTGGACTGCATTGTGCCAGTCAATGACAAACTTGTCCAATTGATGACGAAAGCGGACAATTTAGGTTTGTTGTATAACTTTGGTTACCTTTGTTTAAATAGTACCGTAGACCTTCGAACCCAATTTCTCCTGATATTCAGGATCGTCAAAGTTCCGTATCGGGAACCTCAACAGTGGTACATCCTTTCGACTTGTGAGGAAATGATGACAGATAAACGTAAATGAGCCCAAATCGCCACTCAAATCAAATGAGCTGTTTCAGCCTGCAAGAAAATGACACTGGATGCCGGCTCAGTGTTTATTACAACGGAAAGGCCTAAGGGCGGGGCAACACACACAAAAGTAAACAAACTCTGACTTTAGTGGTCATTTCGATGACATACGTGTGTGATTTCGCTCTGCTATGCAGATTCAGTCAAATATCAGCGTGTATCGGAAAACATCGTAGTGGTTTTTTATTATGGGTAAATTCCAATGAAATCTAGCGTCATAGTTATTCTACGGTGTGTGCTGAACAAGTTACAACACCAGGCTCACATCTGTGCCAAAATTACAAACGAATAAAAGCTTCTAAGCATTCACCACGGTAGAAATACGTGGATGCCGACCTCGTTTTATCCTCTTCGAACTCGGAGAGGTCAAGGAACGTCGTTTCTTATCGAACGTTATTTATTTTATCTAGGGTTTTTGGCTTCAATGAATTTATATCGAACTGTGAGACACCAGTGAGGTAATCACGTGGACAGTGTGGCGCAGCAAGGCCGTCTCGGTCGAGCGAACGACATCTGGACATATGCAGGTGGTCCTACGTAAGGACAAACGGACTATCATGAGGTTGACGGAAACTCGGGGACTGCGCCTATCTGATGAGCCCCAAGAAGGGCGAAACCGGTCGTGGGCTGTCGAAGAGTTTTCAGCAACCTTGTGAGTAGTTTCCTTCATGAAAACGGACTATTTATTTATTTTGAATGTTACGTATATTCAATTGCATGAGTCACCAACGCTCGACCGAGGTTTGTTTCCTGAAGGCATGTTCATGACCGGCAGCAAATGAATATTGAAAATACAGTACCGCTTAGTCTCCAAATGTTTATACTGAACCGGAAGATTAGACGGACGCAACATCGCGATCAGTAAGAATAACCCTCAACCACAATGGATTACCGTGTGCAGAGGACAGTCCTACTTTCGTTTACAATACTATATCCCCTAATGACCGTTTTTTCTAAAAAAACAATTCAAACTGTTTTTTTTCTAAAATGCCAACTCAAAACCACAAAGCAAACCGTTTTTTCATTTGCTTGCATACCTACCGTCTTGAATTTTTTGTTTTTAACATTTTAAGCAAATGCAGTATTCTTATGTAATGCACTACTCATAAGGTTGCTGAAAACTCCTCGGTAGCCCACGACTGGTTTCGCCCTTCTTGGGACTCAGCAGGTAGGCGCCGTCCCCGAGTTTCCCTCAACCATATGTCCGAATTGAAACCAAATTGCACAAAATTAACGAATATGCACTCATTTGCAAACTAATTTGGTTTTTCGAGAGACTCACCTGAAACCCAGCTGAATCTCTCGTTTGTGATGTTCCCAGGCAACTGAATGTGCTGCACCAGGCCGCCTCATGTTTCAGTTGCTACGATAGTCAAGATATCGCGATACATATATTTTTGAAATGACAGTCGTGGACTGTCGAGGAATATTCAGCAATTTCATAGATGTTGCGTCTATTCTTATTTTCGTTTGTTTTCCCCCAAGAACATTGGAAAAACAAAGTAGAACAAACGACCCCATAACTCCTGACGTTCCATACTGCGGTGTTCCTTTTTTTAAAGTGAACGGTGTGCACCAGTGGTCTGTGTCAGGCTAAACAGTTTCCCTCAAAGGGGGATTTCAAGGGCATTTCAAAAATTGTAAGTTTTGAAATACTTATTGTTGTTCTGCTTCGTGTGACGTATGACGTCAATTCTCAGTTTCTTTGTTTTCGGTAAATATCTTAGAATTATTGGTCACTGCTGGAAACTATGCCGTCAGATCGTGTGTGCTGTCAGCGCAAAACGTACTTCAAAAATTTTGTAGCTAACCAGTGAAATTTCGCATGATCGAAATGGTGCTAACTTCCGATAAAACTGGTGTCAACCAGCAGTAATTGCACGAAAATTCGTAACTGCATATTGATGAAACAAAGAAAAACAAGTTGACGGGACTAACATGACCATTCGAAAAGATAACAAATGGTGACAATTCCCCGTCGGTCGTTTCATCTCTGTCCTATCGGGAATGAACTGTCAACTTTGATAGAAAACAGTCATATCATACATGAGGAACATCTAGTGAAGGGGTGATTGGCTGCGTTTCAATACCATCCCCCTAGAATGGAGTAATGGTACGTAGCCCGGAAGCCTCCTTTTTCGTCTTGTATAGTGTAGCGACCCAGTCACCCACATACTTGACTGTTCAACTCACAGTCCCTCACTGGATCGCGAGACTTGTCTTTTTTCTCATACGCACAAACACGTCGCATTAAGCTGACTCATCGGATATCGATTGTCTGCACCGCCTAGTCAGCGTAGCAACCATTCATGTGCCGACGAGCCCACATACACGCACTGGGAGCTACATAAAGGCAAACCGAACCCAGTCAAGACACACAGACTCGCGCCCGCGCGCAGGGAGCAGGACGTCAACCTCTCCACAAGTCCACGGACAATCATGGAACACGTGTAGCAGCCAACCTGCGGAGAAAACACGTTCCCGCCGTCCGGACTTCCACCAAGGGACTCTCGCATCCGATAAGTTCCCTTTTTGACCTGCTCCCATATTCGCACTGTATTTATTTTTATACGCGTCACAGAAATACTGAAAGCTTTTATTAGTGCACATTCACCTTCTGATTTGTGTTATGGCTATCATCACCTGTGCACTAATATATAGCTTTTTATGATTTGTCCACAATGCGTCGGTTCGTTCATCCAAAGGCGTTTTGTACTTTGCAACTCCGTCCCTAATAAGTTTGTCGGCAATCCGGTGTACCTCTTATGCATGGTATCTGAGCCTTTTCGACCACTTTTGGCATAACTGAGTACGCTTCATCTGTTTTAACCACGATTCATCCTATTGTAATTTTCTGTCATGACCGCCTTGCTGTTTGTGGAATCGCGTGAGAAACGTTATCTCTTGACATCTGAGTGGACTACAAACGGTAGCAAGGATTTTGCACCATCTTTTACCTTTCTGTGAAATGAAATTAGGTATCAAACTTAATACATGTCGCCAATAGCCTATGGAAATGTGAATTTGTTTTGGCATGGTCTTCATCGTCAGCTACCAGCAGTACACAGTACATAGTACAGTGGTCCCAGATACCATGTCATCTCAATTGTACTCTGTTAGTTTTATATTGTGTCATGGGTGGCCGTCTATAGGTTACGCCTGCACTGAGCCTGCCAGACTACGCGGTGAGGAGAAGGAGAGAATCCTGGACAATCCAGGACAAAACATATAAAGCTTCTGCGTAATTATGTGTATAGGATGACTAAATGGCCAAACATGGTCGTTCACTTGTTTGTTCTGTACAGCCAATGGCGGTGTTTCGGTCGGGAACAGTTTCAGCCCCACTCCACTGGTCTAACGTTGCTAAGCCGTGTTTGGTGAACTCCACCAACGCACCTGCTTTCCGAACGTGTCGTACCAATGATAACCTTGGGGATGCGTCATTCTCTCAACATGTATTTTTCCATGTCTGGGCGCGTCCTGCTATTTTACTAGTGCTCAAATGAGGAAATCCCTGAGCACTTTATGTCACAAGGTAGCAAAGATGATCCTGTTTGTCGACTTAAATTTACAAGTCAGCGAATGTGTCTAGTAACAGGAGCTTCCTAGTTTGAGTAGCCTTCCACGATTCCTTGAACTAGCGGGCAACTGTCGCACTCCTTCTAACAACCGACATCTTTTCGAGAAAGAGTTTTATTCCTACCAAAAATATTCAAGTTTCCAAATGCACTGGAGCGAATAGCGACCCGGGGGGTGATAGTGGGGACCATGTTCCAATAAATATGGGAATTTATCGCAAAATATTTGAAAGGGGCTTTGAACACGCAAAAGTTTCAAGTTCTACCGAGGAAAATCAATATTCTGACATGTCCTTACTGATTCCACTGATACCGTTGAACAAATTTCCACCGCTTTCCTTATTCTGTTGTTTTACTTCTGGATTCTACAAATTGTGTATGGCCTTGAACATTCGGGAGAGGACTGAATGAACATCAGTCAACCGTAGATTGAATTGCTCTCAGTTGCGCAATTTTGGGATTCTTATTTTGCAACTTCATGACCAGAAGTATTCTTTCCTGACCGAAAAAAATTTATGATACTACTACTATTGGTCGATTTATAGATATACATTCTCTTATTGACATTACGTGTAAACTCAACAACAGTTTTCCTTCTCTTTCTTGGCAGGTTAGAAATTGGTGAGCACTCACTTAAAACTGCGCGCTACGTCCTGTAAACAAGGTGTTTTTGCTGTTCCTCACCTCATGGCTTTCACTTGATTGTAGTTGGTTTCAACAACTTCGTGAACTTTGTCGTGTAGATTTATAGGCTCCCCGATAGTGTCTGCAGGCAACAGGGCCGCATCACCTAGTGGTTGGATGCCATAATCTTTAGAACGGGATGATGAAATCGCGCAATGGTGTAAGTACACCCCAGGGTGTAAAACGAGGTGAAAGTGAGGTGGAGTTGGAATGTACTTTACGTGCGTATTTCATTAAAAACGCCTGTTGTGAATTTGTGGTCCCAGATAGTGTGTGCTTCTAAATTACGATCGCTTTTACGTCGTGCCACCTAACTTAACCTAATTGCTAGCCACCTGGGCCACTGAGCAGGACATGGGGAAATTCATCTATCTAAGAAGTTCAGTCAGCTCGCTGCTAAACTGTGCAGATGTAAGTCGAGTGCGGCGGTTTGGTTTTGTTGTATGGTTTAGTGAGCGAACGCTAGTCAATGATTGACACTGAGCTTTGAACTCTGTAAAACGAATTTGAAGGTGAGAAAACAGAATTTACTCAGATCATTTGCCCATCATGGACTCGTTCAGCGATGATTGATTTAGAGGCAAAGGGGGGTCGGGGTGGCTAAGTGTTGAGAGCGCGAATATAGAGCCCGGAAAGTCTGTGGAGCGAATCCGATCTCTGCCTCTCAACTTCCCCTGTCTAGGCTTGGGCAACCTGGCAGTATCCCAGCCCTCGTGCTCCCTTCTGATGGCATGGCAGTTAGGCACCGAAAGGGTGTTGCGCTGAGCAATTCATTTTTTATCAGTTCGGGACAAATGAGTAGTGCTCACGCTAAAAATGCAGCTGCTACATGTTTCACTTAATTACTCAACTGTATATCGTACCGAAGACTGTATGAACGGGAAATCCATTGTCAGAATACATACGTGAATTTTTAGCGAATGTGTAGGGGAGCTCACTTGCCACGTTTCCTCAAATAGCGCACACCCAGAATCAATTTGCCTTGGTAAGGTTTCCTAGCCGGGAGTTGGTTTTTTGTAAGGACTTTCATAACTACACGAATTTCTCCGTTTCAATTTCGCGGGTTCATCTACCAATGAAGGAGCAGAAAATTGTCGGTTTATGAGGAGATCAGGGGAGAAATAATCTATACAGGCTCTCTGTAGTTAGGTCTTTGGTGCACGTTTCATAAAGTGAATCCCCTTACGTAAGGCAACATTTTGGCACGTTCATCAATGAAGGCCTAATCGAAGGGATTAAAAGAGTCACCCGGTGTTGTATGAAGCGGACAGCCGAGAACCACTCTTTAGCCAGATACGGCTCTAAAGTGGGTCCAAAAAGACCATGGTGTCAATAGAAAAGTTGTGTGGTGTGTAGTAAACAGTGGATTTCAACATTTTTCTCCTAATTAACTGCGCATAGTACACAACTTCTAACTCCCTATCCGAAAAAAATCTAACCAGTTCGCATGGTTTACTTAATAACAGCGAGAGAATGTCACTGTTCCACTGGTCCTCTCCAATAGTTGAGAGTTGAAATTGACGATTCGAATGATGTGCAACATTCGGTTTTTTGTCTCACTATCACGTTTGTCACTATCACGTCATGCCGTCCAGTTGACGGCTACCATTGCAATTAGGTTATTTTATGTGCCATTGTCCAAAGCACCCAAAATTGACAAGCAAAGACGACAAAATCCTAGGTACATCAGAATGAAAACTTATGGAGTCCAAACGCGCTCAGATGATACATACTTTCAGTAAGCTGTTTCCGAATTTGATGAAGGTGACGGCAAAGCAAAACGAAAACAAATCACAATCACCGCGCTAATCCCATTGGTCTGTCAACATTTCTGCCCTGATTTCCGCCACGCCCAGCGTACTTTTTTCCAGCCACGCAACTGATAGGATACCCAATCAGCCTGCGGCTTAGATCGGGCCAATGCATGCCCTCGAATTGCAGTTGACCAATCAAAAAGTCCGGCTAGCATCGATCAGATCGGGCAAGGACGTCCCTCGCATACCCGAACGACTGGGCTTGCCACACCCAACCATTCAGTGACACTTGGCTCTGAAATAGTGGATCAGGTGTTCGGAACTGCTCTCCGATTCCACATGCTCTCCTTCACTCAGACTGGATTGCGCGATCTTGGGACTATAAGCTTCATATTGTGTGTGTTAACACAAACCGTAGCCGGACTACGACCCCTTACACCCTACCAAAGAAGTAAGTGACAAACAGCCGATTAACTCCAAGATCAAAACACCAGTTATTACTCGCGACATTGGCAAATTACACCACCTGGCAGTTTCGCCCTATTGGCGGGAACATTTCAGGAGTAACAAACGAGAACAAAAGTTCACTAGCAATCGTTTTCAAGCAAGATAAGATAAGAATGAAAGTTGGGTTGCCTTGGTAGTTGGCTGCTAACGCCAGAAACTGAAAGGTAGTTACGATGACAGGATACCGTAGGATGAATCGTTGACAGGTTGATGGTTTTATCTACTTAGCAGGAACTTGATGTGCTAATCATTGGTCAGGTGAACTGTCACAACTTCTCCATTATGTGACAGAATTTTCGACACAACCGGTTCGTAATGGAATTGGCAGACGTACTCTCCTAGAGTCGATGATGAACAGTGAATGGCTGCAGCGTTTCTAAGTGTCTTGACGGGATATCGCGATTTGAACTCAGGTGAGATAGTGGTTACATGCACGCAAAGTGCAACCGCGGCGCAACCTTCCACGCAGGTGCAAACACGTGTTACAGTACGAGTACATATGTCGTCGAAACGGATAAGTCTAGTTACTGTTGTGTGTGGAACACGTATTTCCCCCGAAGTTCTTCGCTTCCGCTTAAATTCGGAGAGTTGACATTTTAAACGAATCAGGCGCTCACGAACTTACACAGACTCCCAAAGGACCACCTTCTGGGCTGTAGGATTCGAGCACATTTTTCACAATAAGTCAAGGCTAGCCCTCAGTTTTTTCCATGAGACCAATCAGAGATAACGACGTTGGTGCAGGAATCTAACAGGGGCCTTTGGATGACCAAAATCTTGCAAAAAATCCTCTGAGTCGGTTGATCTTTAACACCGTCCGTGCGTACTTAATCGCCGGCTTTGTATGCACATATTGATTGTGAAAAACGTTAAACTTACTTCACCCAAATGAAGCACAACCAAGCTGCCAAATGTTTACCGGCTTTTTGAAGGGAACTTGGCCAGATCTAGTACACGAAATGGATGCTCATGAATAAGTGACGGTTCTCTGGGGAGATTCATTGGGTTTGCGGACGTACCCTCACATCTCTGAATGACTGCCTCAATAATTCAAGGCAGCGAGGCATCAGTGTTGAACACTGATGTTATGCTGTCGATGATGTTGGTGATGATGACGCAACCATTGATAAACGTACAATACCCCTGGCCTATCATTATGACCAGTGATTCCCTCACAGCAATGAGGATCCTCAAAGTCCCCCCCAAACAGCGTACCAGTGGTAAAACCACAGGTCAGCGCTTTCCACATAATAGTTGACTTAGTCTTTTGGTGTTTTCTCGTATTGCCTGTTTAGAAAATATCCCAACCCGACAACCATTTGTTTAGACCGGTCACAGTTCAGTGCAGTCTGCTGTCATGCAGACCAAGAGCAGTGAAAAATGCATTTCAGGTGAGAGGAAGCGAGACTAAACGACGTTTTACCTGCCGAGGATATCAGGAGGACGTGGCGAATGCGTACAACTGGGTCAAGTGCGGGTTTGTACGCTGTTTAGCTGTCCGAATTAGATTGACCCATTCAAACTATATGACGTAAAGTCCAGTCACGATTCCACAGTTTTCTTGGAAGAACTGTTCACGAAATTGTGAGAAGGCAAAAATCTGCGAAGACGATCAAAATGTTATATTGTCGAACATAGGGCTTGTGAGGGTGAGATCGACCCAATCATCATCAGTTTGGCCCACCGTTTTACAGTGCTACCGAACGTTTTGTTTGAACATAACCGTCCTGAGCTTTATTGATTAGTGTAGTGCATTCAGACAACGGTTCCCGCCAAAAAAACAGCGTTCTAAAGTCAAGCCATTGCTTGTCAAGAAGAAACTACTGATTTGGTGAAATACACTTAGGTGTTGCTGGGGTGACTCAACTGAATATCTCCTCTTCGGTTTTGTTCAACTGAGTATGCTCTGCACACGCCACCTCGATATTCCAAATATCGTAAAAACAGTGGTTTAGGTTGAGAAAATATACTTCGTTATCTCGAATATAGTACCAACCGAAACAATATCAGTTCAGTATCCTGGTAACACTAAACTATTTGCAAAAAAACGCGTTTCACCATTTCCATCTCATTTGGTATTCAATTAGACTCTGACGCTAATGGATACTAAGTGATGAGCTCCGAGAAGGTCGAAATCTCGAATCCCAAGTTGTCGAAGAGTTTTCAGCAACCTTATGAGTAGTGCATTACGCCCATACAGTGTATCGCGTTATCTCAAATATCGTGCCAACTAAAACAAGGCGGCCTGCTGCAGCACACTGAAAATTAGTGTGCATTACTACAGTGTATCGCGTTATCTCAAATATCGTGCCAACTAAAACAAGGCGGCCTGCTGCAGCACACTGAAAATTAGTTAACAACATCAGCGAAGTTCAGATGAGTCTCTCGTCAAAGCCAAATTCGCTAAAAACATGCGGTGGTTTTCGACTGTCTGTCTCCTGATCCAAGTCTGTTACAGCCAGAAAGCTACCATAGAAGTGGTTTAAGCACCGTAACACTGTCGACTTTCTATACCCAACCCTTCCCCATCCCATATGACCTTTGGTAGTGCGAAGACAGCAGAACCATACACTGATCCAGGAATGTAGACTTGAAGAGTATCTTCGCGTTCTCTTGAACGTTGCTGGAAGCCCTACAGGGCACAGCACGTGACCGATCCGAGTAGCAGGCATACCTTCAGTTCCAAAACTGATAGCCTAACTAATGCTCGTTCGCACTGACTCTTGGCTCTTTGTTGGATCAGGTGTGCAGAGGATACTGGGTCAACCACGCTGAAAACACCGAAATCCTACATGGCACTGTTTAGGCTGTTTAAATGGGCTTAAACCAGATCCAACCTTTCCGAACAATAATCGAGTTGTGGCAATCCAATGCTAGACTTTAAAGTAGATTTTTTATTAATATTTCAACAGGAACGCTAACAAATGGATGTCCAAATACAACATAAAGTTGATGGAAGCTGATAGACTGTGACTACTTGACGAGACCAGACAGTGCGAAACCCGTCTTGGGGCCATCGAAGAGTTTACAGTTTGCTTTTGAAAAAAAGTATGACGTCAAGAAAATATAGTGCGGTACTTGACCTATAAGTCGGTCTTTATATAGTACACTCGTTTGGGGAATATCATAACCTGAAAATTCAGCTTGGTTTCCGTTGATTCTTCTGAAAACTGCAGTGTCAAAAGACGCCACATACAGTGTCATGGGAATGAACGACAATACCATTGTGGGA